AGACGACCTGAAAACCGATTTGGCCAACTTTTTCGTAGCGCAGCCGCCAGAGTTCTATTGGAATGGCATCCATAGTTTGCATAAACGTTGGTGTGAAGTGATAGAGGCCAATGGTGATTACATTCATGATTGAGATGATTTTGCTTTTAAATAAACTGGGTTGTAATAATTGTTCATGAAATTCCGAGAACTTTCTTTCCAATCAGATAGTTAGACAATGTTGGGGGAAATTTTGCATTGATAAAATCTCATGCCTAGTGGTGGTGGGTGCTGCAGACATGCCATATCTATATACAACAAGTGTATTTATGAGCATGTAAAGGTAACTGTGAATCACTGAGTTGGTGGTTTTACCTTAATGTGGAATCCATTTGAGAAAGAGCATTGCTCAGTAGCTATTTATTCCTTACAGGTCAGCATCTTTATGTATTACTCAAAAGCCGATCAACTGCATTTTGTATGCCCATCTATAGCTCTATAGCTGCACTGCTGTGTTTACAATTGAAGTCATGTCTCAGTGCCCCTGATCAGGCATGAGTTTTTTCTGCCCAGCTTTTCTCCCCTGATGTCAAACTATTACCCAAGTTTCACTGAGCTGCACTGAATAGTTTCCTTACTGGGTTGTCATAAATCCTTCAAGTGACTTAATGATCATGTATTTTTCATATAAAAGATGAAGAGGTAGCTTATCAATCAGCTCATACATATGAACAGATGTATTAAAATTAATACTGCTCTGTGGTAGCAAGTGTTAATGAGAAGTACCGATTGTAATGAGTGGAAACTGAATCTGAGGTTGCCTGGTGATGTAAACCTCCTTTGGTAATTTTTGGGTGGGGAACTTGATGGAAATACCCCAGAGTCGATGTACTTCAAGTTCTGTTCCTGCATTGTGAGGCAGTGGATGGAAATTTTCATTCAAGAAGAACTTTCATCTATGTGAGGAAGTTTTTTGGAGCAACATGAAAAAGGAAATATGATAGAAAATATGAAGCACCATTATTCAAAGGAAATTAATGAGGAGGAGAATTAGCAGTATCTGACTGGGATCCTGAGGAATTGTGAAATTAGAATAAAAATATTCACACCAAAGGAGGAATGAGAAGAGTGGCAAGGCATGTAATTGTACAGTTTTATGACAGGACAGCCTTAGAAATAAAGCTGCTGAAGTTGTTTCTACTGAATAGGTAATAATGGGAGGATAGAGAATGCTGGGTACAGTGATGCTCTGACTCAACCAATAACTGGTTTTATGTTGACTATGGAGGCTCTGATGACTGAGAAAAGAGAGGCAGCTTTACTTATGAGTCTCTCTCAGAGCAAAATTTTTCTCCCTTTGCAGATAAGGACAAATCTATAACACTCTTTTCAGGAGTCAATGCTCTATGGGATGACTTTTGAGTGGCTGGTAATTTCCACTTTGCAATTTTTCGTTGGCATCCTAATATATGCTATTTTGGAAAATGGCATTTCCTACTTCAGATGTGAATGTGTCTTAATTAAGACTTCCCAAAATAAAGATTCCCTGAATTCTACAAGTCATGCTCATCCAACTCAGTGGTCATCTGTGTGATGTGCATTGCAAAGGAGTTGCTTATGTGAGTCAAAATATGAAACTATTGCTCCTCTATCAGGACATGAAGAGGATGTATGAAGATGCTGGACTGGTCCATGCTGATCTTTCAGAGTACAACATTCTCTACCACAATGGCAAGTGCTATTTCATTGATGTGAGTCAGGCTGTGACAAAGAATGTGGAGCAAGCACTTCATTTCCTTTATCGAGACTGTGGGAACATTTCCAATGTAAGTACTTGTTCTTGTGTCTCAAATCCATTTCTCTGCACGTTGCACTCAAGGCAAAATTTAAAATCCATTTGTTTCCTCAGTTCTTCAAGAAGCAGGGAGTGAGTGATGTGAAGACTCCAGAGCAACTTTTTGAGTTTGTGACTGGCTTCCCTCTTGATCTGGAAGGATCTGACATCTCCTCACAGGTGCTGTCATTTGGATATTACTTTCCAAGTTACAGGTATCTATTTTATTGAGTTACAAAGTAACTCAATAAAATAGCTCCATGGTTACCACAGTATTCTTAGTCTCTCAATCAATGTGGCCACCAATGCACTTCATGAGAATGTCTTCCCTCTCAATCCAGATTACCAAGTATGAGAAGAATAAAGAAATGCTGACGTTTGGAGTGCAAGGCAAGCCATACGCTTTTGACTTCTTTTGGGAGAAAAGCATGGACGAGAAGGTTGGTGAACCTGAAGAAGTGTAAGACACCTTGGTGGATTTCCTGATTTGTCAGTTCTGCAGTATCATCTGAGGTGTTTGCAGCTTGCAAAATCTTTGGTTATTATTGGTTTTCCTCTATGATGGATGTGAAAATTACATGGAGGTCATGTTCTTAGCTATACTTTCTGTGTTGGAGGCCTCTATGGTGCTCAGTTTTGTTTTGTGTGGTTTATTCTTATGCCATTCCAGAAGAGCAGTTTATAGTTTCTGCATTGGGTTCAGTCAAATCTAAGAATGTTTTCACTTTTATTTCATATTCCCTCCTTCCCTGTGTGTGAAAGTGGTGTTAGTTACACTACATAAGTAAAGAGGAAATTGAATTTGGTTTTTAAATCAAGTTAGGTATTTAGCAAGGGAAAATGTTTCACATGTTCTTGTTCCACTCCCTGATCTTGACTGAATGATGAAATGAATTACCCTGCAGAAGAATTGTTTCTTCAACTGAAGATCTGCCATTATTTATTTGCAATCTCTTTTCATTGTGTAGTGCAGCCAGGCCCTTTCAAATCTGGTGTGATGAGTTACTTTTCTAAATCAATTTTTTGCAAAGTTGAAGAATTGCCAGGAATTCATCTCTCTGAGACCTGTGCATTTTTTATTTTATGACATTGAAAATTCCTTAAGAGTAAGGATGACTGTAATAGGAGCTCTAAAGTGTCCTCTCAAATGCAAGTCTGTGGACCTCTCTGAGTGGAGCTGCTTCCAAAAAATGAGATTTGCTCCTGTTTGAGCAGAACTTTGCCCTTCAATCTCAAGCCATTTATGAATATGCCCGATTACTCCTAGTAGTTTTAGGGTATAAATGCAAGACACTTGCAAGATTTAGTTAAAACATGTCTAAATAATGCATAACTCAAATTTTGAAACAGTTTTAAATGGCCTGCCCATCTCCTTTTACCAGGATGTAGTTGTTATCACTGAATTTTGGTTCAGTGCTGGAATTTGTCTAGTGTTATTCTATTTTCAGTATTTTTCCACAGTAGCCTGTATTGTAGCAGCAATTTTAGGCTTTTCTCTTGGGCCCTTCAGAGTACTCTGTTAGGCATGTGCATGACTAATATTTCAAAAAGAATGTCCTGCCAAGGGCTGTGAAAAAGCTCCAAAATCCTCCTTAATACCACTCTACAATGAAAGAAATACATACTTCATTGTATAGATTTAAATCTCCCATGTAAGCCCTGGCAGCTAGGTTTTTTCTATGCAGCTTGTAAAGACTTGCTAGCTGAGTAGTGCAACTGTTCTAAAAATCTTTCATCTGATAAAGGTTAACCAAGTCTCGATTGACAATTCAAAGGCAAAGTCCTCTCATATTGATGATTGATTCTGGTTGAGCATTCACCTACCCTCAGCAAGGGGATTCATTTCAGCTTCTTTCCCAAGATGTTAGTCTGAATTTCCTGATGTAATTGCAGCCAAACAGCACCCATGGGTTCATTTTCCTTCTCCCACAGGTGAATGTAAAGAAAGGAAGAATGCTTAATTTTCCTTTTTATTTGACCAATATTATTTATTTACAGAATGTAATTTCTAATGTTGCAGATATGATTCAGGGAATGCAAAATTTCATTATACCTGGCACATAAGATGCTTGCACTGTACATCTTAATAAATGAAAGAAGCAGAGTAGCTTTTCACATATCAAGGATCCCTTTGAAGTCAGAGTCTTTTCTTTAGGCTGTTGCCGAGCTTAAAGTAGAAAGATTTTTTCTTATTCTATGTTGAAGAACCAACTAATGTACCAACAATTGAATCTGGGGAGCATGCTGTGTATTGCTTGGTACACAAACTGAAATTTTTAAGTTCCTCCCTGTTATGATGAAGTGGTCATCAAATAACTGTCATACAGCATCTTCCTACAGGAGTTGAAATTAAATTAATCCATGGTACACCCTTTTCAAGCAGGGTAGGCTTTGGGAATGTATCTGCTCAAACTGGACTTCTCTTTAAACATTCATTCTGTGGATGGGTGCTGAATGACTTCAGCAGCCCTGACCCAATGGTCAAGTATCCTGTCCTCACTGGAATGGTTGGTGGCATGACTAGATGTGGGAGTTCACTGCTCATGCCACTCCCTCATCCTTGTTTCCTGTTTAACATGAAAATTGTATTTCCAAGGAATTTTATTGCCTATTAAGATTTGAGTGACCCAGAAGTGAAAAATTATAAGTTCAACTATTTTGGTACTGTTATGCCATGCTTCGTTTACTATTATGGGAAAGGGATCTTAAAGGCAAACATTCTTCATATTTGTCAAATTATTAGTGTATGGTGAACTGAGATTTCATCACTGCAAAAAGCCATGCATATATCATGGGAGTATTCATAAATGCTAGCTTTGAAACATATCTAGTCTCATTGCCAATCTTCTACTGGGTACCACACAATACATGCCATCCCCTCCAGCATTGAAACAATATCAGTAGTGGTTTTAGTGAGGCTATACACACCATAAAATATATTTTTGCTGTAGATAATCTTGGTAGATATTTTGAATGGTAGCACCCCCAGAGTAAAATATAATTGTTAATTCTTTTGTGGGCAAATTTTTTCTTGTCCAAATTATTAAATTCTGTACATTTTCTTCCCCCACTTATGGAGGCATTTATTTGGAGAAATTTCAGTTTTACCCCCCAACAAAAAGCAAAGCTTTATGTTTGTGGTGGGAATTATTCTTGTGTGTATTATGGTCACCAGTGGATGATGAAAGTGTGAGATAGTGGTAGTCAGGTGTTTTCTGGGAAGAATACTTCCCACTGCCCACAAAAAGGTTAACATTGAGTTGACTTTTGGTTTATGTGAGTAGAGTTCCCCCTTGAAACTCATTGTGCACATTGTCAAAGCTATTCCAAATTTGAGCCCTACAGCTCTCTCTTTACAGCAAATGTGCCATCCACTTTTTTTTCTTAATTTAAATATTATATATAATCAAAAGCATTACAATAAGTATGATTACTTATGTATGCAGTGTCACTAAAAAGCAGTGGCAGCTCATGATATGCAGCAGTAGTGGTTCATCAGTTGAGACAGAGGAGGCCTGCCTTCCCTGTCTCCACTGAAAAACTACTATTGCTGCATATTACAGAATAGAAAGCAAAGTCACAGTTCCAGCTCTCAGGGGGGTAGCTAGTATTGTCATCCTGTATATTGGTCTTGTCCTGATAACATTCAATGGTTTTGTAAGAATTCTTCATCTCCATTCATTTTCATTGGTTTGGGAGAAGGTAATCAAACCCTCTAAAACCAACAATGTAAGGCGAAAATTCTGGTTTCGTATGGTACCATGGGCACAAATGTTCATCAGTTCACACACAAATCCTTCTGGTTGCATTCCAGATGAAAACATCATTGTGGATGGAGAGAGTCAGTTTGAGAAGATTCTGAGGATGATAGTGGCGAGGCGCCAGGGTCCAGGAAGATGGCTTCGGCTTCTTGCAACCCTGGTGTGCCTCCTTCAAGCCCTCCTTGTCACATACATACTTGTCCGAGCCAAATGGTCCTCATCCTCTTCCTCTGGCACCTTCTCTTTTCTCCGATATTTTTTCCCAGACCACAAGTTTAAACATTTCCAGCTTGACTTCCAAGAGGTCTTTCATTTCACTCGAGTGACACTGGATGAGTTCTATCATGCAATTAGCTCTGATACTCCACCATGCTTTGTGCTTGGAACAGCCAACTATCATGGGAATGTGGAAACTCCTTGTGAATGCAGAGATAGTTGGTCTGGTAAATACTGTGATATACCCCTACCTGTGAAGGAAACCATTAACAAGAACATCAGTATTCGGTCATCAGCACGCAAGATCATTAACTCATTCCTTTTTAACACTGAGTTTGACCTACTGGAGGTGAGAATGCATGAGCTGTATGACATTGTTGATGTGTTCTTGATTGGAGAATCTAATGTGACTCATGCATTGCAACCAAAACCCTTGAGATTATTTGAGCACCTCCAGAAAGGTTTCCTTAAGCAATTCCAAGACAAAATTGTTTATGTGCTCTTGGAAGAGCCATCAGGGGAAGCACTTAAAGATGGGAGTCATGTTGTTGAGAGCTTCCTTGATCAACTTTCAAGAAAAGGCACTTCAAAATTGGCAGAATTGCGGATGGATGATCTGTTTATCTACAATGACATCGATGAAATCCCATCACGTGAAGTTTTGGCCTTCCTAAAATTTCATGATGGTTACACTGTACCTGCATCTCTCTTCTATCGATGGTCCATATTTGGTTTCTTTTGGAAAGTGCCAGCAGAGAAAACACGACCAGTCATAAGTGCCGTCACCATGGATGTCTTGTGGCGAGCCTGCGACTATCAGATCTCCTTGATTAGATCTGGTGCATGCAAAGGGTTGATCCCAACAATTGGAAATGCCTCAGAGGGACCAATCATCAAAGATGATTGGGTCATTGGGTCTTCACAAAATCCAGCTGGTTGGCATTGTTCTTGGTGTCTTCCTATCCATGATATTCGGACAAAGTTGCTCTCTGCCCCCAAGACAGATTATCCCCGATGGGGAGACTACCCGATGAAAACCAGTCTATCGTACATTCAGAAACTCGTCAAGAAGGGGATTTTTTTCGACCTGTCGGAGATTGGAGTTGCTGCACACTCAGATGAACCTGGATTTGCCCCATCCCATATTATGAAGAATCCTCTTCTCTTCGAGTATTTGATGGAGGTACCTCATTATGAGACTTCAGAGAAAAGCAGTGAACATCAGAAAACATTGGACTAACTTTGGGTGCTGCAATTGGAGCCTGCTTGATTCCTGGTGATATATATATTTTCACAAAGAAGTGATCCCATCAGGATGCTGGTTGTCTTCCAGGTTAAATATGAGAGCCAGTCTCAAGTGCACTTCACAGTGCATAAATTTGGCTCTTCAGGGATCCCTGTCTTTGTTTTGTTTATATTCATATTTGGGGTACAGGGAAGGTGAGTACAAGGAAAGTAGGTGTGATTTAAATATTCTTTTCCAAGAAAAAGCTCCCTGTGCCTGCTTAAGCTGCTTTATTTCTTTTCCTGGGAATTCGTATTCATCCAATTCTGCAGTGACAGAAAATTATTGAATTGCTAAATGAAAATGGATCATTTTCCTATGATGCCATTTGCTGCCTATTGTGGCACATAGTAATAAGCAATTCAGGGAGTAAGGGCTGGAACAGCTTAAAAAAGGCCCTGGGAGTAGCTAGCCTTTTTCATGGAAATGAAGTTTTTGGCACAACAGAATGCAATCAAGTGTGATTTAAAATATAGTAAATGTATGTAATTCAGAAAGTTTATCTAAATGTTTGGCAGAGTCTTCAGTTTAAGAGTTTTCACCCATGTTGCTTTTTTTTATATTTAGTGTTTACATCGTCTGTCTCGTATGACCTTTTTTGTCCTCATTGTGAGATCTGTGATAATGAGAACAGAAGATAAAAGACATTTAACTCACATGAAAGTCTTCATTTCTAAAATCACGAGGAATAAAGGGGAGACAAAAAATATCACAAGACAGCTCCTTGCACAATCAAGTGTTCCTCACAGAAAGAAGTGTCATCACTCCAACAACTTCTTGTACATGTGAATACAAGGATGGTTCCAAATTCAACTGGAGATATGCATTCACCATTGACTTCAATGGTCAAATGTTCCATGAGAGATGGCATGAGCTGACACTCCAACCTTACAGGTCCCTTGCATTGATGGCATGCTTTTGGAAGAGTCTTCGGGGGATCTCTCACCCAAAGTGGCTCTCCTATTGTGCCCTGATGGTACCTTCAATGAAAGCAAGATTGATGGGTGGTAAACTGTTTGGTGCTGATACAGAGATAGAGTAATGAATTTATCACAAGAGATATTTATTAGAAGACAGTAAAAAAGGAATAAATGAGTTTATTTACTTGGAGGTGTCTTGAATTGATGAGTTCGGGTATATATCTTAAGCCCTTGAACTGCAATGACGCATTTACATTTACCATAGACAATCAGTTTGCAAAAATGAAACCTTATTTCATTAGCTTCTGAAATTACCAAAGATAGGATCAAGTACCTTCACAATATAAAAAAAGGAATCTGAGACATCTTTAATTCCAGAGAAACAAGAAAATCTCAAACTGATAATGGATTCTCCCTAGACTTTGATGGGTGTCTCTGTAGATTGTACTTTCTGGGACAAGAGGATATTTGGGGATTCATGGAGTGTTTCATTCCATGTCACTTCAAAAAACTCAATTTTAAAGTTAAATAAATTTACTGTAGGTGGAGCTGAATTTGGGCCAATGAAAAGGATATGTAGAGTTAAGAGCTTGATGCAATGCAACTTGGAAAGCAGAGACAGGCATCATAAAGCAATGGAAACAAACAAAAGTAAAATAGTTCAAAAGCCAGGAGTAAAAACAATAGTATGTTGGTGACATGGAATTGTCAGTAACAGAATTCCACCTTAGTCAGCAATGAGGACTTTTCACCCATCTTTACAATGCATCAGTGTTTCATGTGCTTGATGAAAGATCAAGACAATGGCTTATCAATCCAAAAGAGGCATTATCCCGCAGGCAGCCACAAGATGAGTACATACTCTGGATGATGCTGAATTGGTTAAGATGTCATCTGAGTTAGGCTGGCTTGAGGCATACTCTTAAATTGCATGATAAGTAGAGGGTGTGACTTTGCTGCAAAAACAAAGACCAGTCAGTAAGATTCCTTATTGTGGGACTCTGGATCATTGAGAATGCAGTCTATGAGGAACTTGGCCTTATCAAGCAACTGTGACTCTTGTATAACAATATATACGGCCCATATAGCTGTAATTCATTAAAAGAAGCCAATTACCAACATTCCCATTGTGTCAAATGAATGGAATGGATGGGGCTGAGGCAACTCGGACCCCAATTAAACCCAAGCTGATAGAAAAGTACTGTAAATAATGACCAAACTGAGTCCTTTACCAAAAATTACTCTTCTTTTTTTAAATAAAATGGGTAAGTGGATTTAAAAAAAACCAGCCTGTGACACCTGACTTCAAACAGAGTTTTGGTCAAAAAATGCCAAAAAAAAAACATAAAATCCTACTTCATTATTCTACATCAAATGGCATTATTTACAGGTTGTGTGGAATTATAGTTATCTCAACCTTGAGTTTGGCACCAAAGCTGCATCTGGTCTCATGAAAAAAGAGTGTACACTGAAATTGTCACTGGCTGGTTTTTAAATATCCACTTACCCAAATTATTCTTTATTCCACATTCCTCCTCTTCACAAGCTTTGCTTTAGAGACAGCTGGGGTGAGCAAAAGGATGGTGGACATGGCCTGCAGAAAACAGACAGGGCTAGTGATGGTTCTAAAATGTGAATTATGAAGCAAATATCAAAAAAGCAAAAATGATCATCTTTGATAGATACACCAGCAAAATTTCACTCAACAGAACCACAGAAATATATCATATTTGCAGCAAGACACAAAATTAATCCCACTTACCATTGTCAAGTTGCAGAATACTTCCTTTCAGACACACATTTTTAAGTTGTTACTTCTCAATGGGATCCTTCCTATTCAAACATTCTCACTGTCTGAAGAGACATGATCATTGAGCGCTTTCACACCAGACACTTACCGTATTATCTGCTCTTTACATTGATTGTGTTCCTGGACAACTTGAATGAAGTGATAGAAATTACTATCTCCATGACGTGGAGCAGGTTTTTCATAAGACTCCTGTCCCCAGGCATCAGAGCCAGGGGAATTCTTTCCTTTCCTCCTTGTTTTCCCCTCCACATGATCATCCTCCTTCTTTGAGGCCAAAACTGGTTCTTCTATTACTGATATGTACCTATTCAAAATGAAAAAATTGATAGGAGGAAGTCTACTTAAAATGTTTGCATCAAGCCTTATTTCCCAGTGTAAATGCCCATTTTGAATAATAAATTCTATTGAACATCCTGTTCTTCACTCTATCTGCAGAAGATGTCATTTTCCCATTGAAAAATGAGGAGCAACTGTTTTAGACAAAGTTCATTCTGCAGGAGATGTGTACATTGAAACCCCTACTCACCTGATCCAAATACCAAACACAATCCACTTTTGTGGATCACATGCTTTTCATCAATGCACATTTCATCAGTTATGACCTTAAAAATTATTCAGAAGACTTGGCCATCACCAAAAAAGATCTGAGAAACAGTAATGTGGGAACAACTGGCCATGCAATAATCTGGGTAATGCATGTCAGTTCTCATTGTTGAAGTTCTTCTCAGGTCCCTTGGTAACATGAATTAAAAATGGGCTCTAACCATTGGCAGAAAGTTGTTTTCCACTAACAGCTGGTATCCAAACAGAAAAGGAAATTCTTACCAGCTGAACTGAATCCAAACTAAAAGGTTTAGGATGAGTCTAAGTCCATGGATAGAGTGGGACTAAAACTGAACCAAACCAATATTTATTCTTCCTAGATGCCATGGTATTAACAGCACCAGGCATAGTGAAAAGAGGTTGCAAATGATATCCTTGACCCCTTGCCTGGGAAATTTAAATCTCTTCCTTGCTCACATGTTGGGGAATTTTTCCTTGCTCTGGCAGACAAGTAACATACTACTTCATTTAATCATTTTCCCAAGTTCAGTTCCACAGGAGGAAATATCACACTGCTATGAATTCCTCATTGAATACATACCAATATATAAATGCATCATACCCGCCGAAAGAAAGGCATGACATCTAAAGTCATCACCCATAATTGAGGGGTTAATAATTTTACTGGTTTTTCTTAGAAACTGGGTCTACCTGGGATGGAATGTAAAGGTGGCCTGATCTGCTTGTGGAGGAAGTTTGGAAGAGGCTTGAAGCAGGTCTGGTATGTCAGATGACTCCACTAACATGTCACTCTCAAGAACAATAGGACCATGACCGCTTCCTCCTTCAGTATCTTCTACCCATGCAGATGTATCACCTTCTCCACTGAGATCTGAAAATGTCCAAAGGGCTTCATTAGATTTTCTAGGGCTCATGTTTCTAAATAACAATGTTCACTACACAAACCCAAATTATGCAATAACATTAGCCTAGTTAAAAGCAATTGCAATTGGATTTTTTCCTCCAATGATAGGCTAGGATAGAACCCACAATTTAATCAAATGCAATGTCATATATAACCTCACCCAATAAAATTAATTTCTCAGGTTCTCCCATCAACTGTTATCTGCTATTGCTCATGCTGAGTCGACACAAACTTGTTTTGATGTACATTTTCCCTTGGGAATCCTGTCAAAGAGCATTGGTTCCTTTACAAAAACTCACCTCACCTTCCATCTTCAAGATCTCATCTCATCTATCATAATTGGATCCACCTGGTAGCAATCGTTAATGAAGGATTGTGACCTTTCATTCCCTCACTATGTTGTTACAGGGACTGAAGGCAGAAACTGGTATAATGAATTCTCCTTTCAATATTCTGTCACATCATCTCAGAATTCATATCAACATCTTAGGACCTTTCAATTCAACCATTCTAGTTCACTTTTGCAAACAAGCCCCAAAGCCTGAAAAATGGAAAATCATTACAGAAAATGACATGCAAGCAAAATCACTAGACTCCAAACATTTGCATCTGATCATTACAAATTCACTCTGCATCTTAGCACATGAAAAAACAGAGACCTTAAGCACCATGATTTTTTAAATAGAAAGTATCCTGTTCTTAAGTGATATGAGACCATGAGATAATACAAAAAAACACAAGGTAAAAGTGCATGGTGATAATGCTGGCACATTAATGATAGTTTGCCATGTCATAGTTTGTTTGCATATGATATCCACATCTCCTTAAACAAGCAAAGTGAGATCAACCATAACAAATACCTGTAATTTTGCAAGAAAAGGTTAAAAAAATAATTTAAAGTTCTACTTTCATGTAGATGATCTTTTAAAGTTACCATGAATTATGATAATTGCAATGCTGCCAGTAACATTTAAAAAAAATGGGTTTGCTTTTGCAAGGGAAGAAAAAGAGCTAGAGCAACTCACCCTGTGACTGAGCGGTTTCAAACATAGACAGTGCAGCCATGTCACCCAATACCATCTCATCTGGAGGCTGGCAGGCATCAACTGATTCTGTTACAGATGCAGATGTTCTACCTTCTTCTTCTTCCTCTGCAGGAGCCTCTCCCCAGTCATCTGCTCCATCCAGCCAAGACTCAACTCCTGAAATAATGGAGCCTTGTGCCAGATCTTCCTTTGCTGTCTTGCAAACACTAAGAACTTGTGTCCTCAAGCAACACCACCTGAAATCCATTTTGTTGCAACTTAAAAACATCCATTAGTATTTCATTCATATCAAATACTACACTGGAGATTTTCTCTAGCAAGGTTCACCTCCATAATCAACTATATTTTGTGGAAGGTGAAAGCCAGTGAAATTAACTTACACTGGATCTCTGGTGGACCAGTAAGAATCCAGCTCTCTAATGGGAGAAGTTAATGTTGAAGCCAGCCTGAAATTGCAGGTCCTATTTTCTCCAAAGACATGGGAGGTATTTCAACAAAACCTTCCTAAGTGGAATTCTATGGCACAATCTCCAACTCGTTGTGTTGAATTTCCATCAATGTTTCAGGTTCATAAATCCATAGCTTTCAGTTTCAAAAAGCAATAAGCCTATTTGCATAGTGCATTCCAGTTGGCTCAATGGCCTAGAACTGGTTGATGAGAGATCCAGAATTGAGCATGAAACTAGCACATGTAGTCATGAGAATCCATTCTCCAAATTAAGGGGCTAATGGTGATAAGAGTAATGTAGTGATGCGTATTGGTACCAGAAGCCCACCATTCTATCACTAATAGAATTATAACATCCACATTATGAAATCATACCAAAAAGTGAAGACAGGAATCCAAAACAACATACCCATGAGCCCCTCTGATGCATGTGAAGAAGTATAGAGTCCTGTGGTATTCAGAAGCTTCCAGAGGTGCATATATGGTCAGGGCCAAAACTAATTGACTTTTGCACACTGTGCAATCCAGGTGAGGCCTTCCAAGCCCTTCAGGCCATGCCTGTATAAATAGGATTAAACATTTGATGAAAAGACAGTCACAGTTAGACCTACCAAATTCCAACATTGCAAAAATTGCAGTTGTGGTTAGGATTGTTTTCAAACCCATCTAACACATCATTCTCCAAAATAGGTTGACTTTCTCTCTTTTTTGACCCAACATAGAAGGAATGCAGCTCAATTGGTCTGTGTATCACTTTTTCCCTGAGGTTGGTTAGTTTGGGTTTAGTGAAAACCCAAAGGAGCTGATGAAGCATTAGTCCGAGTCTCTAACTCCAAAGTGATTACAGAATTTATTAAATTACAAAATCTTATGGGTGGAAAGGACAGAGGCCACACAGGATGGGGTTAGAACGGAGAAAATGGCAGAAAGTGTACTCCGCTCCTATCCTTTCCTGGCATGCTTGTAGTAGAGTGAGTATTCCCAGTCATGCAATTAACAGTTATATTAACAGTTATCTCAGGAAATATTGACTGTAAGCAAATGTCAGAAATGTTTTATGGGAGTCCATGAACACCTCTTTCAGGCGTGTTATGAAGCAATTGAAAAGTAGAAAGCTGTATTGGCCTGCTAAACGGCACCTTAACAGACTTGTCTTTTATACCAGTACCCTTTTGAGTTGCATGTGCAACCTTACCATTAAGCATTTTAATATTTCTCAGATTCTTGCTTGCAAAGAATCCCCCATCTTTCGGCAGTGGCCTAGCCTAGGGCGCAACAGTTCGGATTGAACTTACAAGCTTTCCTCCGATTTTGCTTGTCGTGTAATCGAGCACAGAATCCTGAGCCTCGGGAATAGCTTCGTCTGGGATACCCAGGTACGTCCTTGTGCTTGGCATCTGGGCGTATGCAGCCTCAAGTCCACGCATTGGGCCAAAGACAAGTCAAGCCAAGAGGCAGGCTACGCCGAGACTCAGCTGGCTGAATGAATTTCGTGCAGGCCGCCATACTGCAGCATGTGCTTCCGTTCCTGCGAAAGGGTCCGGGTAAAATGCGGAGTGCATGGGGAGAAATTGTCGTATTTTATGCATTCATTCTCTGAGGACAATGACGTAGCCAGAATTTCGCCAATGGGGGGGGCTAGAAGTTCCTTACTTCTCCTAGTCGGGGGTAGGGGGGTGGGTGGAGGGGGGTGGCGGATGCATTTAGACCAGGGGCAGGTTGCACTGCTTCAGTTAAGCCAGACTTTCATGCCAAGTCTGACTTTGGAAGCGTGTCTAAATTTTTAGCCGGTTGAAATGACCCTGACTAATCTCAAAGCCTGACTTTCAAGTCTGTCTAATCTCAAGCCACCTTCGGAGTGTCTTAACTGAATGAAGTCTAACGTGAAACGCCATTATCTGGTTTTCTCGAGAACCTGTTGCGATGATACACGATGCCCGACTCGAGAGGGAAGTAGAAACTTCAGGAAAGGGTATTCCCGGAAAGGTTTGATCCCTCGGGAACAGCTTATTGATTCTGAACATTATGACGGGTATAGACTTGACAGAGGAGGAATTTCCAAATTGACTGATTTGCTGGCTGACCAATCTCCTCTCCAACGACGCTCATGGCTGCTTTCAAGATTTTATGCTCCCGGAGTATAAAATCTGTATTTAAATAATAATAATAACCTGTTCGAGGTTTCGTTTTCTTCGAGGAATATGGTTTTGCATCATGTTCAATATCCTTCCATTTTCTTTTGCTGTCATCATCAGACCTTTCGGCTTCACCGACACTATTTACCTGAGAACCTTGTCTAAAACATATATTTAGACCAATTCGAAGGATGCAATGCGGCAAAGGTGTTTGTATATAACCTAATTCCCTCCCCGTTTCCAGATTGAGCTCACCTTTCTCCTTTAGGGAAACAGCATATATCGAATATTATTTCTGTGAAACAGATCGGTAAGATGAAAAACTTCTGAATGTCTACTTTCTTAACAGCTTCTGTAGCATTACTGGCCGCTCCCAAGCTACACCCTTGATACTCAAAGCAGCAAAAGGGTTGACGACAATTTAGAGGTATGATTGAAATTACTTCGTTTACGTACAGCAAAAAAAAAAATTTTTAATATATATATTTTGAGCCATTTAATTAAACCCACTTCTCCGCCACAATATATCAAGCGCCCTTCCTTCTCGTTCTAGAATTGTGTTTCGCTTCGAAAGAGAATTTATTTTCGTTTTCGGACGCTGTCCGTGAGAAGCAGCTCAGACTCCATGAAATTCCATTTCTTCGGAAGCATGAGGTCGACTTTTGCAGCGTCAAAAGTCTGGAAAAGCTTCACCTTCGCTGAAAGCAGCAAGCTTGCAAAGCGTGAAATCCTCTGCGAGAAAAGTCGGACTAGGATTAACCAGCGGCAGTGCAACCGAAGCTCGAGCAGTGGCGGCTCGTGATATTCAGCAGTAGCGGATCGTCAATGGAGGCAGGGTAGGCGCGGGCCTACCCTACCTCCAGTAAGAAAACACTACCGCTGAATCATGAGCTCAAGTCCGAATTTTCCAAGTCTGACTTTGATGCCCCCCCCCCCCCTTCCCCCCGGCGCTACACCGCTGTCTGTGAAGGATCGAATCCGAGGTTGAAAGCGTGAGAAAAACGCCCCACGACGGGAAAGTAGATCACTTCGGTTTAAAGACGGTTTTTTGGCCAACCCATCAGTCAGAGCGCACGTCTCGAAGCTCAACCAACCGATTTCCTCCGGAGCAAGTTGAAGCTGAGTCACTCTTCCTCCCGACGGGCGCAGGAATGACTCTGAAGGTCGTTCCAGGGATCCAGGATCGCGGAATCGGATCTCCCAGCTGAAGGCTTATCAGCATGCAGGAAACGTGTGGGGAACGTGGGGAGGGGGGAGATACCGTGGAACTTCTTTTCCCCTTTAAAACGTATCAGATGATACAATCGGATCTCTCATCGCAATTGCGTGGGAGAGTCGCTTAGGGACTTTCTTTTTTCAGTTAAAGGCTATGTCGGAGAGGCAATCCGTTATCCTGTTTTTTGTTTTCTGATGTCGATGCGGATGTTGATACTTACTCGTTTTTTGTTAAGGCTTATCCAAGAACGAGCATGCAAACAACAGGACAACCTTCAGACGAGATTTATCATTCGGTCCAGGCACGAAAACGGCTTTCACGATGGCGCGATAGGCCCAATGCTGTCAATGTCTCCAGATCCTTTACGATCTCTCAATCGAGTTAAATTTCCTAGCTCGTCCCCGAAATGATCTCGAGGAGGGCTCACTCGGGTGTGGAGAAATTGTCCGCTTCCTGCACCGAGCTCGACGGCGAGATTTCCCTCGAGGACGCAAAAAGCTGATCCATCGAAAGTTCTTCGATGGCATCACTGTCAGTTCCCGCGCAAATTCGGTCTCGTCGTCGTCGCTCCTCGTGGGCGTGTCCGCTCACCGGCCGGTTGCGACTGGGATGCGGGGTAGGGCTCGCCGATGGGATATCTGAAGCGGTTCGTTTTTTGTTTTTTTTTTCGCCATGAGTTGTGCTCGATGCGTTGCGCGGGGGGAAGAGTGTAAGACGATACGGGAGAATACGAGACGGAAAGGGAGTCGCGTGATGCATGAAAATCGGTGCTCGTTTCTCGTTCTATCATTCCTTTTTTTTCTTTCTCGTGTTTCTCCGTCTCTCCATAACGTAGACGAAACTCTATTGTTTCATTCCATTTCTCTCCACGTAAACAAAAAAAAAATTGGATAGATACCCACTCCTACCTTTGCCGTTCCCTCCATCGACCATCACAACAAGGTACTGTAGATTTAGAATGCTTTCGGGTCCCAACAAGAAGCTTCCGGCAATCAGAACAGTCCAGATGAATAGCGTGGGTGAGGCCCGGCCAGTAAATAAAGGCCAAGATGCCGCCATTGTAAACCTAGTAAACAGATTTAACGACCCTTTCAAGGGTCGGTGAACCGGTTCTGAAAAAAAAATAGACTGCCCTAATACGAACTTCATGACCATAAGCGTAGCGTGGATGGAAAGTGGGAGGACACGGGAACTGGGATGCTGTTATACATTTCTGGGTTTCCTTCTCCTTATTGACTTCTTTTCTTGAAAAGTGGAGGGGCACGTGCCCTCTCCCCCCCCCCCCATGCCTACAGGCGAATTCCCAGTGCATTTCGTTCCTGCGAATCTGACTCTTTTTTTGCATTTTTCAACCGGATCAGTAGTCCTCCCCCCCCCCTCCCCCCCTTTAGTCTCCTCCCCCTCTCACCTTGCGGTTTAGTGTGCTGAGGGCGGTAAAATTCTCGTGTGTACAATGCGGCACCATCAGCTTAGAGCAGAAATTCTTATATAATTATTGAATGCCTGGGAACCGACCCTGAGATCCTGTTAATGCGAATACGGAAAAAAAGTATAAAGAAAAACATCTTGTCCCCAAACCGGCCGGTTTCAGGCTCGTTCCAATCCCTGGTATTCATTAAGGAGTGCTGCAGTGGGAAAGCATCGTTTCCCCCCGCCATGCGGCAGATAGGGATGATAACGAGCAAAAAAAGTAGTACCCAATTAGAACATCCAACAGGACACAGGGTCCGACCATTGAACTCCCTGAATTTATCCCCCTCCCCCCTCCCTCCCCCCCAGTTACCCACGTGGGTCGCCGATCTTTCCATCAGTCATCTCAATACCTTGATTTTCCTTTATCGATAAAATGGATGTACTTAGCCATAATATGGTTTCCTAGCCGTATCTCTGATCAGATCCTTGGCCTCATTGATTCACGTGTGCACACCTACCAGGGCTCGTTAATCGGGATAAGAATATATTCTTGCCGTGTATCAAACGTGTTCCATCGATTTAGGTGGAGTGAACCAACAATATGGAAACGAGCCGCGGACACAACTGTGTGGTGACAGGCGGGCATAACGTTTAGATGGTTTCCCGGGGCGAAGTCAGGCGTCGGAGTGCGAAGAAGCGACGAAAAGCCGCGAAAGAAGAGCGTGCCGCGATGCGAACGATACATGCATCTCGGGCGGAATGAAATTGCGACTTCTTCCATCGGGGATTGGTGGGAGTGGCAGCATGGACACATTTTTTTGGTTCGATTTGAAGGTTAAAGAATATAGCTGCGCTGCGAACTTCTCGAAATTTTGGTGATGTGAATACATTCCTCGATACGAGTAAAACTTTACAGCCCAACATGCATGCACATGACTTATAGATAACATTTCGATTGCGCATACTTCCTCGATTCTCCCCAACGGCCGAATCAGACGATAACGAGTGTATGCCACCCTCGTCCGTGTCCTTATCCTCACACCTCGTACAACCGTTTCGACGAGAATTCCAGCGAAGGAAACGGATCGCCCCCCCCCCCCCCCCCCCCCCAGGAAACGGACCCCCCCCCCCCCCCCCCCGCCCACCGCCCCCCGCTCGAGTGGGAACGAATCGAAACGCGCCGCGGACAAGACTGGGTGGAGGACGGCGAGTCTCGCTCGTTTCGCCGGGAAACATCAGGAATGTCTTGGTATTTTCAGAATGTCAAATTCTAGACAGCTATGCGCTGTTGGATATTTCTTTCACGCCCCCTTAATTTCTCGCTTGCGTAAATGGGCCCGTTAAAATGTGCGAATGGCTTCTCACCCCCTGGGGCATGATGGACCATTTCATCTCAGTTTAATTATTTTTCTTTTCAGGTGGCGTCATCACATTGTTCTTTCGGGTTTCAAGGCCTGTTTTACCTCCAGGAGGGCAAAAAAGAATTATTATTTTTAACCCGAGTAATTTATTATCAATTCTATGTTGAAAGTTGAAAACTGCTATTTTGTACTTGACAATCGATAAATAAATTTAAAAATTGCATTAAAAATAGGGGGGGGAAATTGCTCCTTCTTCGGAATCGATAAACGGCACATAATTCGCAGGTGCCAGGCCATTACCTAACATAGTGCAAGTCCCCAGGAAAGGTTTGCAAAACCTTTCATATCCGCTCTTCTGAGACCTTTATCCTCTGGCTCCACAGATCTCCCAGGGAATCTATTTTTCCCCCAA